AACAGGTGGGGATTACAGGTCAAACTCTGTCCTATAACAGGTGGGGTAACAGGTCAAATTGTGTCCAATAACAGGTGGGGTTACAGGTTAAATTGTATCCAATAACAAGTGGGGTTAAAGGTCAAATTGTGTCTAACACAGGTGGGGGTTACAGGTCAAATTGTGTCTAATAACAGGTGGGGGTTACAGGTCAAACTCTGTCCAATAACAGGTGGGGTAACAGGTCAAATTGTGTCCAATAACAGGTGGGGTTACAGGTTAAATTGTATCCAATAACAGGTGGGGATTACAGGTCAAACTCTGTCCAATAACAGGTGGGGTAACAGATCAAATTGTGTCCAATAACAGGTGAGGATTACAGGTCAAACTGTATCCAATAACAGTTGGGGGTTACAGGTCAAACTAGTATCCAATAACAGGTGAGGGTTACAGGTCAAATTGTGTCCAATAACAGGTGGGGGTTACAGGTCAAACTGTATCCAATAACAGGTGGGGGTTACAGGTCAAACTAGTATCCAATAACAGGTGGGGGTTACAGGTCAAATTGTGTCTAATAACAGGTGGGGATTACAGGTCAAACTCTGTCCTATAACAGGTGGGGTAACAGGTCAAATTGTGTCCAATAACAGGTGGGGTTACAGGTTAAATTGTATCCAATAACAAGTGGGGGTTAAAGGTCAAATTGTGTCTAATACAGGTGGGGTTACAGGTGAACTTGTGTCTAATAACAGGTGGGGGTTACAGATCAAACTCTGTCCAATAACAGGTGGGGTAACAGGTCAAATTGTGTCCAATAACAGGTGGGGTTACAGGTTAAATTGTATCCAATAACAGGTGGGGATTACAGGTCAAACTCTGTCCAATAACAGGTGGGGTAATAGATCAAATTGTGTCTAATAACAGGTGGAGTGACAGGTCAAACTCTGTCCAATAACAGGTGGGGTAACAGGTCAAATTGTGTCCAATAACAGGTGGGGTTACAGGTTAAATTGTATCCAATAACAGGTGGGGGTTACAGGTCAAACTCTGTCCAATAACAGGTGGGGTAACAGATCAAATTGTGTCCAATAACAGGTGAGGATTACAGGTCAAACTGTATCCAATAACAGGTGGGGGTTACAGGTCAAACTAGTATCCAATAACAGGTGGGGGTTACAGGTCAAATTGTGTCTAATAACAGGTGGGGATTACAGGTCAAACTCTGTCCTATAACAGGTGGGGTAACAGGACAAATTGTGTCCAATAACAGGTGGGGTTACAGGTTAAATTGTATCCAATAACAGGTGGGGATTACAGGTCAAATTGTGTCTAATAACAGGTGGGGGGTTACAGGTCAAACTCTGTCCAATAACAGGTGGGATAACAGGTCAAATTGTGTCCAATAACAGGTGGGGATTACAGGTCAAACTGTGTCCAATAACAGTGGGGGTTACAAGTCAAACTCTGTCTAATAACAGGTAATGGTTACAGGTCGAATTGCATTCAATTAACAGGTGGGAGTTACAGAGTTACTGTAACAGAAATTATTGAAGGTCATTATATTACCTCGTCTACATCAGATTTATTTAACATAAATAGTTGTCCTGAGCTTGTAGCTGCTATATCTTCATATGCCTGAAATCCAACATGGGAACGGTTACCACAGTCTCCAGTCATGACAAAAACAACCTATGTAGGAGAAATCAGACATAAATTAGTCAATAAGCATGCTGATGGTCGAAATAGCATCATATATACTAAAACCAATTTTTATATTTTTTATAATCTTTATTTATAGTATACAAAGTATATTTATTTATTATTTTTTGTTTACATTGTTTATGTCATTTTTTTTTTTCATTTAGTATTTGAATATGTTCAATTCAAAAATGAATAATGTCAATAAAGTTATTATACCTTTAGCAATTGGAAATAAGTGCCAAATTAACAACGAAAATATATAAATTTGTAGAAAATATTTCAAAATAGAAAAACAATGCAGCTTTGATATGCATACCACTTCAAAGTGACACAGATGTCGTACTCTGCTGTAGGTCCCATGTTACCAGTTTAACCATGGTGATGTGATAGTTACAGCATATAAACCATGAGCGCAAAGGGTGAATGATTTACATGCCATCACCATTAAGTGTGAATGATTTACCTAATTTGTAGCATCGCTGTTGCAAATTGGGAGTTTCTGCCAACCAAATTGTGGCTATGAATACACATAACTTAATTTGCTGCATATTTAGAGTTGTCCGAGATCTCTTCTCATCTACCATGGCCACACCAGATTACAACATATAACCAAATTTTGAAATGCTCAATGGCTATGATAGTATAACCCACCTGGCTTTGTTTTTCCTGAATGAGTTTAAGTACATTCTCTGTGAGATCAAAATCTTTAGCTCTGGCATCAGTAAATACATAAATAAAAGAACTTGGTAAACTAATAGTTAATGCAGTTTCAATAGCACTTAAACTCATTTCGGGACAATCTCCGCCTCCCTGGACATATAAATCCCGTAAATTCTTCTTAAATTCTTC